CTTGCGAGAGGGGAAGTATTGCCCCCTAGAGGCACCCAGGGGGGTGGTATGTAATTGTCCCAGGTCACTGGGTGGGGGCTCGAGCCGGTTTTGCATTGCGTTATTGAAACGGAACCCCTAGATACAGAACCCGGCCCTTGTTGCTGTCAACTTAGATGGGCAGAAGGATTACATTTTGGGGGGCCGTCTCTCCGTGGGGTTCTGCCACAGCCTTCACCACGAGCCAGTCCACTTCCTGCCGTCCCACAAACTGCTCCACTCTACAAGCTGCTCCGCTCCGCTCACCGACCTGTGAGCCACTTCAGCCGTTCCCGCAAACAGCTCCGCTCGCCGTTCCTTGGGCCGCTCCAACCGGCCCCGCAAGGCTCTGCGCCACTCGCTGCTCCTCCAGTCGTCCCCACAAATCGCTCCACCAGCTGCTTAGCAATATAGCTTCAGGCTCCCCCACTAGTTAACAGCACTCAGTGATGTCAGCTCTTAGTAACTTTAGCTCTTTTGTGATTTCAGCTCTTAGCAATTTCAGCTCATAGTAGGGGAGCCCCAGTGCTAATGCACCATTGGCCCAAAGTGAATTCAGCTCAGTAGCCTGTAACTAGACTCCTAATGGAATCAAAGTTAGCTCTGACATTCAACCATGGAGAGAGGAGGTAGTGCAACTGGTGTTTCAAACCCTCAGAGGGGGCTCATACCATCAGGTACAAATACCTGTCCCCATCCTCTCTCCATTCACTGGGTTTTGTAATCCATGACCCTTGTCAAGCAAGTGCTACTTAGGTAATGGTGAAGGACTCACTCAGTCCTTCTGTCATACAATAGTTTCACTGGCCTTGATTCACAGAATCAGGGTAACAAAACTTTATTCTTCCTGTCCCAATAACAGAGAAAACTGGGGATCCCACACCAGCCAAAGTAACCACTTTGAGTTGCTGTTGTTTCATGCCAGGCGAGTGCATGTGCCTATGCAAACAAGATCAGTCCCTGGAGTTCTTTTCCACACTCGCCATAATTCACCACCAGATGTCAGGGTAGAGCTCATCCTGACTCTGCTTACACAAACAATGTAATCCCACCACACCATGCTGGTTCTGACCAGAAGGAGCAGTCCATCCATGGGCATACCATGGCAATACTGGCAGTCACAACATCTATTCCATGGGACTACAGTGGATTGTCACTCACTCTCTTGGTCAGCCATCTTTGGTGTGTCAAAAAGTTCTGGCCCAATTCTGTCCACTAGCTTGTGGATTGAGTACTTCCCCACACGAACAGTTGTTTTGCAAGAAGTAGCTGAAGCAGAATCACATCATCTTGGACTTGCTTCAGGTCTTCCACCCAATTTGACAGAAAGGATTTGTGAAGCAGGAGGTGCCATCACCAAATGCTTGAAGGCAGCGGATAGTACCAGCAACACACAGTAAGGCAGTTCTTGGAGTGTCTCCTGTGATGCACATAACTCAAAGACCCCATTCCTGAAATGGCAGTGTGAATGTCGGGTACGTGGACAATGTATATGGATACTTGGCGCAGATATGGGGTACATGCACTAGCAATACACAGACAACTACCTGAGGAGGTGTGCAAGTCTAGACAAAAGCTTAGAGCATTGCCCTGGGCTGAACCAGTTCTGATAATGTTTTGGTCTGCACTTCCCTAGTACTTAAAATGTTGTTTAAAATAAATGTGACTACACACATGTTAAAAAATAAAATAGTGTATAACAACATTTTTAGCATAGACATCATCCTAGACTGAATAACTGGCTTGCTTAATTATCATTTTAACAACTGAAGTACCTACTTGTCGATATAGACGCTCCCAGTTATCTTGTGTCATCAGACGGAAAACAGAGAGGAAGGCCCAGCCAAAATGATCAAAGCTTGTGTAGCCAAAATCAGGATTGTCCCCAATTTTCTGGCAGGAATAGTTCTCTGGACATTCCTTACTAATAACAGAAGAGACATTATATTATACATGATTTCCATGTAGAACTGGTTTCCTTACATATCAGATTGCTTATGTTGCTCCTGAAAGTGCCAAGTACACAGTCTCAAACACAGACTCCTTTAGTTCATCTGAAAGTTCACATCCTCAAATATATTTCTGCCATCAGGGGTCATTCAAGTCTCGGATTCCCTGGTAAGTCATGTGGTGGACCACCCACTACAAGATCCGAGACTTAATATGTGGTCCAGTGGTTTTCAACCTGTGGTCCACAGACTATGTCTAAGATTTCAAAAGGGGTCCACACCTCCATTTGACATTTTTAGGGGTTCACAAATGAAAAAATATTGAAATCCACTGATGTAGTTTGATTCCACACCTCTCCTCCAATATACACATACCCACACCTTCACCAAACTCAAATGCCAGCTGGGACAGATGTTTACAAGCCCAGGAGAAGCAAGGAATATGAAAGTTCTAGGCATGAGTATTTGTGGAGGGAGTTGGAAAGCTGATGGAATGAAGATTAGATCTTAAATAGTTGGATGGAGGGGGGGAAGGAAAGAGCCTGCAATATGCCCAAACCAGGGCTGTACTGAAAAGAGAAACAACCTAATTCTTCAAGCTGCTCAAGTTATCACCACCACAGAGCCACATGTGTAAGCAGGGTCTGAATGAGCGCTCCCCTGACATCTAGTGATCAGCTGGAAGAAAAGACTTCAGGTGCAGACTGTGTTTACATAAACATGCCTCTCTGCCTAGGTGTGCAGTAAATGGCGCTGCTTTGCCAAAATGATCAATTTTGGCTGATTTGGGGTTATGAATCACTCCAGTATTCAAATGCAGGGGTAATAAAATGTTGTTATCCTTATTGTATGGGTAAAAGGCAGCAGAACTGTGCTCACCATGCTCTTATTGAGAGGTATCATAAACAGACAGTTACGGGTTAATTCCTCTTTTACCTCTAAAGGGATAAGAAGCTCACATAGCCTAGCTGACACCTGACCAGAGGAACCAATCAGAAGATCGGATATTTTAAAAGAGGGAGGAGGGAAATCAGTCTTTGTCTGTTCAGAAAAGTTTGTGTCGGAGTAAAGGATCCAGGAATCAGCCATCTAACATTTCTTAAAAGTAGTAAGTGTTTAGAGAAGGAATGTATTAGATTATGTTTATTTTCTTTTGTGACTTCTTTTTGCATAGAGAGAGAATCAAATTGGGTTTCTTTGTGTAACTAAGGTTTTGCCCAGAGGGACATCCTCTGTGTTTTGAATCTGTTGTCTGTGAGAGTAGCTTGCATGCTAATCTCACAGAGGTATTCCTTTCACCCTTTTTCTTTAATTAAAAGTCTTCTTTTAAGAACCTCTTGATTTTTCCTTGTTTTAAGATCCAAGGCTTTTTTGGATCTGGGCTCACCAGGAATTGGTGGGAGGTAAATCAGTCCCAATCCTGCCAGAAAAAGGGGGATAAAGACTGGGGAGATATTTTGGGGGAAAGGGAACTCCAAATGGTCCTTTCCCTGTTTATTGTTTAAATCATTTGGTGGTGGCAGCTTAGACCTAAGCTGGTAAACAAACTTAGGGGGTTATCTCATGCAGGTCCCCACATCTGTACCCTAAAGTTCAGAGTGGGGGAGGCACCATGACATGGTACGCAGTGAGATGGGATTCCACTGAACCAAAAGCCAGTAGATTTTTTCCCCTTCTCTTCTCCGAGCTGCAAGGAGAAACAGATCTTTATAGCTCTTTGCCTAAAGGCAAAGGTGTTAAGTTTTCTAACAAGGGCTCTTGTTAGAGGAAAGTTTCCAGCTGTGAACAGCTGGCGAGTAATTAACATTTTGCACAAAAAAAAGTCACAAAACCAGTTTTCCTTGTTTCTTTCTTACTTTGAGGGGTCAAGTTACAGTAACAAAGGAATTTACAAGCTGTTTTTTCCTACCTCTCGGGGATAGCTAGGGTAAACCAGAAAGGCTGAACACTGAATGCTGTAAAAGTCTCTTAACTAAGCAGCCCTGAGCTGAGGCATCCCAGTTTCAGTGAACTGCAGAGGGGGTGTGACCCAGCACAACAAAGCAGGAAAATGAGTACCAGTGATGCCGCTAATAAACTAGAGCCGGCCAGACTTCCTGCAGAAGAAAATGAAAAGAATCATAAGAGACTGCTCGAATTAAAAGAACTCGAGAAAGCAGCTACTGAAAGAGAAGAGAAAGCCAAAGAGGATGCCCACAAGAGAGCTATGAAGGAGAAAGAAAAAGAGATGGAGATCCAGAGGGAGGCCCAAAAGCATGCACTGGAGTTAGCAAAGATTCAGCCGAATCCACCAAATAATCCTAACAATCCTCTACCCAAAATCCACAGATGGGAGCGACTATCCACGGTATAATGAATCCAGTGATATTGCTGAATATTTCCTCACCTTTGAGAGACTGT